TTCCCAGTTACCTTCTTGTATCAATGTATCAAGTTTTAATTTGAAATTTTAAACTATACTAGTTCTTGTAGAAACAGCTGTATTACTGTTGCACACTGAAAATGTTAAAAAAATATACAGAATGAAATATTTAAAATATAAAAACAAAAAAATTAATTTTTATTTACTTTTAAGCCATCATAATGAGATTTATCAATAGCTTATATTATTTTAACTTTATGAGATATTATTTACCAGTATCACTAAATATTTGTTTAACATCTGTAATAGATATTTTAGGAGAAGACGAATCCAAGATTTTACAGTTGCCTGTTTTGGGAGGTTTTAAAACAGAGTACAGAGACAACATCTTATATACTTGAAGAAATGTGGGCGTTGAAGGGTGATCATTTGGCCCAGTTGCTTGACGTATTGTGCCAAAAAACATCTGAAAAAATGTTATTAGTATCCAGGACTAAACTATACTATACTGCTTATACTTTCTTTTATTTTTAATAATGCAATAAATAATACATTTATTACTCTGCAACAACTGTTAAAAATAATAATATAATATTAATTTCACCTCAATTCGGTACTGGTTAAATTTATTACTGAGGACATAATGGTACCCACATTCACTCAGTAAATATTTCGACAAATCTATAGTTGATTGCAACGTAACTCTTAGGCCTTCAGCAGTTGGTCGAGTAAGAAATTCATCATCAGATATTTTACCATCTTTATTATTTTCCTCCCAAATATTTAACCAATTGATCATGCTTTCCAAAACCTTTTTTAAAAAATTTTATAATTTATTGTGAACTAAAATGTTTTAAAATTAAAACTAAAAATTCATGTTGTGTATTATAAAGTATATTCACCTCAAAACCACTACTATTTAACTTAATTCCCTCATTTTTGTGTTTTCTATTTAATGCATCAAAGGTGTCATTAAATCTTTTAACAAAGTCCTGAGTTTCTTCACTTCCTTGAAGGCTTATACATTTTCGGTTTCTATAAAATTCCAAAGCATTAGCCATTTAATTACTCATAACCTAAAACATATTAATATCAATTGAACACAAATTACAAATTTTAACATAATATGTTAGTATCTAAATTACTTGAGTGGCCAATTTCACACTAATTTTAGATAAAGTATCCAGATATATCTCATGGTAATTTTTGGACAAACTCTTAAATTAATCTGGCCATTTATGTCATTAATTGTATCGATTTTATTCATTTCCACAAAATGATACCAACTTATACATTTTTTAGTATCAAATACCTATTATTTTAATACAAATATTAATTAAAAAATAAAAAAAAATTTTAATTAGTTGTTATAAAGTATAGTTATTTTTAATCATACATTCATACCTTTAAATATTTATTGTTATGTAAGCGATTCCTTACTGTTTTAATTAAATTTGGTGCATCACTAAAAACATAAACTTTTCTTTTGTCACTAAGCGGATACATAAAGTAGTTTTTAGACTTCCAATTTTCCACTAACTCCAAATTCTTTCCATAACTTCCTATTAGTGGATGCACCATCACTAACTAAACCTTAGCACCAGAATTTTCAAGTAAACAAATAGCTTTAATGACAAGCTGGGCTAGTATATAACCTTAAAAAATATTAAATAATTAACAGTTAAACAAACTATAGAAAGTAATTCAAATGTGGTAATGTTTTTGTATAAATATACCTTTAACTTGTCCTTTTGATGTGATTACGGCAATTGGTTGTGAGAAATTAGCAGCATAGCTTTGAAACATGAATACTAAAGCATGGTCAGGTTTTTGGCCATAATGTTCACAAGGCATATCATTACCATAATCTTCTAAGCCACTGTAAGTCAGAGTAGTACTATTTACAGAAATGCTTGTCCTTAACGAAATGTCATCAAAAATTAAATTTCCGTGCTTTTGCTGATCATTTAACATGGATATTTTTTTTGTTAGTACCTAATGAAAAGAATTTTTTATCAAATCCACACTGATTTTGAACAAATGAAAGATAATTTCTGATAGTTTTAGGGCATGGCAAAGGTAATATTTCTTGTACACGTAAAAAAGAATATGCACTGGGAGATCTGTCATAAGTATAATAACATGATTAATTTAAGAACACTATTAACAAATCATAATTAAATTAGCTGAAAACAATAGTTTTACCTAATATGAAATAAAATACACAGTAATATCCAATTCTCAGAATATCTACGATTTCTGGGTTTAACCGAGCTGGTTTTTATTATTTTATTTATTAAAACTTTCTGTGTTTCATTCAAATTTGCATTAGATAGTAAATTATCAAAGGTTATACTTTCCATTTTTTTTTTGCAAATTTCCAAGATTATTATTAATTTTTTGTATAGTATTCTTAAGTCTACAAAGAAAACAAATATTAATTGAAATTTTACAGACATATAAATTTCTATATATGTATATAACTTACATCTTACCTAAGATTAGATACTTGCAATTTTTGTTTTTGTTTAACTATGGTTGACAAAGAACGCCTTCTTTTTTTTTTTTTTTTTTTTTCATTGAACTTAAGCCCGGCGACTAAGGCCATTAGCTGTTGTAGGGGTTATGAACTGTGGTAGGGGTAAAGTTGGTACGGTTGGTTTGTTTTTACGATTATTACGGCTGTTACGGTAGGTAGAAAACACGTGTATGTGTGGCAAGGTTTTGAACTACTATTAACTCGAGTGGTCACCCATCCGAGAACTAGTAGCTGTGGCCGTTACTTACTCACAGTCGCATTCCGCAACTGGTAGCAGCCAACGCGCCACGCCAAGCCACAGAACGCCTTCTATTAGGCGTTAATGTTTGAGAAATATTTTTTTTCACATTGCCACGTGTATATCTTGATTTATATACTCTAAATATTGTGAAAAGTTGTTCACATTCTTTACACCTATTAACACCAAGTGAATCTATGACAATTGTACATTTATAATGATGCCATATGCCATGATTTAGTTTTGCACTTTTGACTGAAATACCTAAAAATAAAAATAATTTAATAAATAAGGTATTACTTGGTAATAATTTTGGTAAAATTGAAAAGGGTAAAAGCAAAATACTAAATACTTACCTGAAAAATTAATTGCTTTGGACCACCAATGCAGATACTTTTTTTATCAAACAACATTAATAAATTAACAACTTTCTCAATGTTATTAAGTCCAACTTCAAAACTTTTCAAGTTAAAATTTGAAGACTTCAATTCGACATTTAAAGCATAACATGAAACTTGAAAATTATGTAGGATAACAATTTGTTTTTCAACAGTAGCCTTAAGAATATCATCGTTTTGAATTTTCATTGTAAAAAAGACTAATGTAGTTTCATTTTGAATGCAATTCCATCCAGTTGGAAGGTTAATAGATTTTAATTGTTTGAAAAATGTAATAAACTGCAATTCTTTGATCTAATAAAAATACATTTTAAATAATGTGTTATTAAAACAAAACATTACATTTATTGGAATGAAAAATGAAATAGTATTATAGATATATTTACCTGAAGGTTGTTTGAATTATTAAAAGTTTGAAAATTCCTATGGAATATGGAAAGAACTATTATCATCAGACAGAGACGCCTGCATTTCCAGAGAATTTATGCTAGAGTCAATTGGTGTACTGCAATTCCAATCAAGTTTTTTACGACATAGCGGAGTCTATAACAAATTAATAAAAAAAATGCAATATTTATAGATATAATATACCTATACTAGGCTGTCCAGTGAGTAGTATAAAATAGACAGTTCAGAAGCCTCTTCCCCTCATCCCCTCATCCTTACTCATCCCCTCATCCCCTCATCCCCTCATCCTTGCTCCCTCATCCCCTCATCCCCTCATCCTTGCTCCCTCTTCCTTACTCATCCCCT